AAATTGTGAACTTCATTAGAGTCAGATTTTAGAAGTATTTCTGATTTAAAACTAATGTCAGTTTTTATCAATGTCAAGTAAAAAGACAGATTTCACTGAGGTGATCAATATGTTATCTTCTGCGCGGAGGCAATTTTTTGATTGTAATATAAATGACTTTTCCAGGAACAATCTTTTAGATTAATTTTTTTCAATTGTTAAAATATTAGTTGAATCATAGTCCATTTTATGACCTTTAAAAACATGATTACAAAAAGCAAATCTCTCATGATATAATCGACTATTACTTTCGTGTGAACTGATTCTATCTTTGAGTAATCTTGATGTTTGTCCGAAATATTCACTTCTATATTCTACACATGGAATTGAATAAACTAATTTTGATTGATAATTCATAAGAGGTTCATCTAAAAGTTTTGTAAACAATTTATTGATAGCTAGAATATTTCTGAAAGCTATTCTTACGTTTGAATTTTTGAAAATTCTCCATAACTTGATATCAGATCGTTGATGTAGAGTGAGGAAGAGAACAAAATATGAATAATAGTCACGTTTGAGTTATTCAACTGGTTATTATTATCAACTTGAAATGAATAAGATCTTCTTCAAAACAGAATATGATTGGGTGTTATAGATGAATAATTGGAATGAAATGTTCAAGTTTTTTTTTTAAAGAAATGAAGGATCGGAAGTCTGAAGAAAGCGATTTTTGATTTGTTTCACCAAATTTATTTTTGTTGACTGCTTGTAGTACGACCAATGTCGAGCCGTCATCTTAGGTTAGGTTAGGTTAGGTCTGAGGTGAGTGGGTCTATTCGACCCTCCACCGCAACCCGCAAGGGTTTATTGCGGCTCACACCTATTCACACTCGACCAAATAAACCCAGCTATTTAACGAAGCTGATTAGTTTGTATGGCGAGTGGTCTTTCAGGTCAGATGGCTGTCGAGTTTACGACTCCAACTGACCTCCCTGTAAATTTAGTTCAGGAGCAAGTCTTCAGAGGAGATGGTAGTCGGATTTACGACTCCAACTGACCTCCCTGTGAATTTAGTTCAGAAGCGAGTCTATAGGAGAGGTGGATGTCGAGTTTACGACTCCAACTGACCTCCCTGTAAATTTAGTTCAGGAGCAAGTCTTCAGAGGAGATGGTAGTCGGATTTACGACTCCAATTTACCTCCCTGTAAATTTAGTTCAGGAGCGAGAGCTGCGGCGTACGCAGATGTCTTAGGTGGAGGAACTAACCCCCCATAAGCAGTTTAGCAAACGTTTGCGCTCAAGTGAGGTTTCACCAAAAACAGAGGCAAAAAAGCCCTACACGGATGAATCTAAGGCATCGTCAGGTGTAGCTGACGTGCAAAAACCCTAATATGGAAAGGTTGTCGTGGGTATCAAGGTGGGAATCTTGCAACTTGACTATCCGACTACCTCATTAACAGAGCATATACTTTGCGCCTGCCCCGCTGGGGACCGAATCAGGTCTTTAGAGTTCGGCAGAGCCGCAGTCTTACCATCTGACCTGAAAGACCACTCACCATACAAACTAATCGGCTTCGTTAAGAAGCTGGGTTTGTTTGGCCGAGTGAGAATAGGTGTGAGCCACAATAAACTCTTGCGGGTTGCGGTGGAGGGTCGAATAGACCCACTCACTTCAGACCTAACCTAACCTAACCTAAGATGACGGCTCGACATTGGTCGTACTACAAGCAGTCAACAAAAATAAATTTGGTGAAACAAATCAAAAATCGCTTTCTTCAGACTTCCGATNTATTATTAGATTTACAGGCTATTACATTAGGATTCATTGTAAAAATAAATTTAGAACAAGTAGATAGGCAATATTGTGAAATTAATTTTTATATAGTTTGAAAATGGTTTCATATATAGCTGTAACATTTAAATATTAGATTAGATTAGATAAGATGTATTGTTGAATTAATTAATACGGCAAATTGTAAAATTAATTTAAGACACCAAAGGTGTGGTATACCTGTATGTGTGGTACACCTGTATGGTATACCTTTATAGTATGAATAAGGTTAGCCTTAGAAGTTCTTCCAGTTTAATTTCCCTCTTGAAGATGATCACTTGGTGATCGAAACACGTGTCGAGGTGTTAAAAATAATGATTCGGTGTTGGGAAAAAACTCCAGTAATATTCATTACTACACCAAAGGTTTCAAATGCTGCATCACAAATATTTACAGCAATTGCATTGCTGCAATCATTTTTCAAAGTCGTATTACGAATGAATACAAAAATTGAAGAATACGCCTGAAGAAGCTATTGAGTAGTGAAACTCGTGTTGCTGTTCTGTAATCTGGTTAGTGAAAGTTTCATAATGAAATGTATACAAATACGGTAGTCAACTGATCTGATTCCAATAGAGTCTAGAAGTTATATTTTACGATTAAATCAATCTTCGTAATAATTTTTATTATCAGATACACGACAGACTCACCTCAGTTAAATAATATATCATGCGTTGATAGTCTTTTTGTTTGATGATTTGACAAGTCTCTCTAACAGCCTCTGCTAATAAAATTTTTTTCTGTTCTTCTTGCCTTACAAGCCAAAATTTATTCTTTAATAAAATTTTTCTAACACTTTCTCTCTTGTAATCGGTATTTTCTATAATATCGGTTATTCTCGTTTGCCCGTGTTCAATAACTTATAAACAAATGTTAAGTTGGGCCTCCTCATCATATTTACTTGGAGTGTGCCTTTTCTTAAATTGATTTGCTACGGATCCTGTTTCTCTGAATTTCGACATTATCCTTGACACAGTAGTATGTTGAACATTTTTTCCTGGATGCCGTTCATTAAAAATGTTAGCTACTTGCCGGTATGGTGTATTCTCACCACATATTAAAACTATTTCTATTCTTTCCTGAAGAGACAACATTATTGCAACAATAACTGTTGAAAATTTGATAAGTAAATCAACAACTTGACACTTCCATAGCATGCATTTTGTTTGTCAAGACCTACTTCAAAATTTTATTCAACGTGATTGAGCATCCTTACCGCCCTAGTTAGTGATTATAAATAATTTGTAAATACTGAATATTGAAATTTTAATGTAATTTCAACTCTAGTAATTTTATTAATACTTATTGCAGTTTTTGAGTTGTGTCTGCTTCGCTCGCCAGATTTGTCACCTTTGGACTTTTTTGTATGAGGCTATTTGTAGCAAAAGGTGTACGAAACTGAACATGCTTCAATATTGAATATACGGCAGAGAATAATAATTATATGTAGAGATATTGACGTCACTGTGTTCGAAAGTGTTCGGCGTGAAATATCGGATAGACTGTTCATATGTCAAGAAGTTCAAGGCAACCATTTCGAGAATCTTCTGAACTGACCTCAAGCGTATTACCTCATATTATGTAGTTAAATGTCAATGTATTCAGGCAATTATTGAAAGTTTCGCCATTTTGTAGTAGTTGAAGATATTGATTGACATTATATTCTAGGGTTGTAAAGGACTTGTCAGGAGCTTCAATTTTTTGAGTTGACCCATTCAAAAAATTAAAGAGGGAGAGGGACATTAAAGAAATGGACTCTATATATAAACATAATGAAATAATACACTTACGCTCGCTCATCAGTGAAACCCTCCCATTTCAACAGTTCGAATTTGTTTCTCATTCTCTTCTCTTTTTGTTGCAGAATTTTCTCTTTTTTCTTCCTTCTATAATACTCTCCAGATAAGAGATCTTCCAGATAAACTAAACCGGTATCCATTTTTTCCGGTTTCATTTTTGACTCCAATAGTTTTTTTTCTTCCTCTAACTGTTTTCTGGATTTCTTTGGTGGATACTGCAGCTTTCCTTCATCCAAAAATAATAAACTCAATATAGTTCAACGAAACATCGAATGCATAAATTAAGTTTGACACGTCAAATTTTTTGATGATGGATTAAATATGGATTCGCGTAAATGATATTTCACTTCATTAGAATCACTGAAAACTTGAGTAACGGATTTCAAAGCGATTTTCCCATCTGAACCGTTCGTTCATGCTCTATGGGGGGATTTTCAATATGTCTCATCATTTAACTGTCTGAATCGGTAATTGAATGATACTTTTCCAGTCAAACTTAACTTACCATATTGTTTTATTCTTGGTTTTATGCAAGGTCATTAAAATAACTGGGATCACTTTCTCGATTTCTCGAATAGCTATAGGCGGGCATTTTTAAATGTTCCTCAAACCGATAAAATTATAAAAAAATTCAATGCTAGGCCACAGAAACAGGGAGGCCACAGAACAGCGATTAAACGGTTTTCCCAATACCGATGAAACTGACAGCTGTGAGATTAACACCTCACTGTTTCATATAACCCCACGAACTTTGCCATCAAATCCAATATAGTCCCCTCTGTCTGGAAACACGCTAATGTCAGATCGTTAGCTAAAAGTAATAATCCTGCAGAACTGCCTGATTTAAGACCAATCAGTATTTTTCCAACTCTCTCGAAAGCGTTCAAAAAGATAATTAAAGAACAGGTTACGAGATATATTAGTATGACTAATATTATGACTGAAGTTCAATCTGGATTCCGTCCTCAATACACAGCATTGAGTCTGATTACAGATGATATTCTCAAAGCAATTGATGAGGGAAATTTGACCTATATCATTCTATTAGACTATATTAAAGCTTTCGATACTCTGGACCCGTCTATTTTATGTAAGAAACTGAAATATTTTGACTTCTCTGGTGGTGCAGTTTCACTCCTGGAGAGTTACTTAAGTGGATGAACTCAAACTGTCAATTTAAATGATGAACAATCTTCTTCCTTATGAATACGTTCCACAAGGTTTTGTCTTGGGATGTCTACTCTTTGCTCTCTATACCGTGTGACACAGACTTATGATACACACCCTTTTTTTTCTTTATTCTTCCACCTATTTTTACGGAACTATTAATATTGATTATGCTTATAAAGAGGCACTTTTTGACGTAATGTGAGATTTTCATCAACTTCCGGTTTTTCCGGAAATCTTATCAACGTTTAATTTTTAAATAGAACGCGCTGTATATTATCATATTTTTGAAATCTACACAATTTTCTGAATCCAACGATACCCCATACTTGATATTTCAAATGTTAAGACGCTCAGTTTATTTTTCGATCTAGAGGGACATGAACGTGAAAAGAATTTATATTATTTCAATTGAGTCAACACAACGAATCAACATCATTGTATGGAATAAAACTTAGATACTCATTTTCTCATATTGTAATTCATTTAAGAAACAAAACTTTTTTAAAATACACAAATAAATCATAACAGTTGTTCGAAATGTAGACCGTCAACATCTAGTCATTTTCGAGCTCGTTTCGCGGTATTTTGAATCACACTGGAAAATTGTTGAGGCGTTATATTCTGAATGGCTTGTCTTACTCGTACTTCCAGGTCCTCGCGGGTTGTTGGGGAAGTTGCGTAGACAATATTTTTCAAGTGACTCCAAATGAAAAAGTCCAACGGGGTTAAGTCGGGTGATCTAGCAGGCCACCTAATAGGACCATGTGTTCCAATCCATCGCTCCCCAAATCTATCACGAAGGTACTCCGTTACTATCCTATTATTATGGGGAGGTGCTCGATCCTGCTGAAAAAACTGTTGATTTGCCAGATTAAGCGGTAAATCTTCTAAATATCCTTCAATTTCATTTCTGAGAAAACCTAGGTATCTATCACCACTCAAAGGACCATCAAATATTATGGGGCCAATTATCCTAACCCCTACTATTCCCAGCCAGACATTGAATCCAAAACGTTCTTGGAAATTTCCCTGTCGAAACAAATTCTGAGTTTCTTGTGCCCAATATCGGGTATTCTGTCTATTGAAGAAACCAAGATTGGTGAATCTTGACCCATCTGAGAATACAATTGTTTTCAAAAACTCATTATTGGGCTGCACATTATTGTGTAGAACCTATCTGCAATATTCCACTCTTCTTACGGTATCGGCGTCGTACAGATGTTGGTGTCAGTTTATAGAAATGTCAAAAGTTGTTTGTAATTCATAGCCACCCCATTAATTTACCTTTATTAAATTGCGAANATTTATTCAATTATTATATTTTTACTTGTAGGTTATTTTACTATCATTTCATTTCAGGTTTATTGTTGCTTAATATAATTGTTATTTTCAACTATTCTTTTTTAATTATTCTTTTTTACTTGTTTCAGGGGTTTCAAATCATTTTATATAATAGACGGAAGTCCGAACTAGTGAAATTCATCACGAAACATTGTCAATCACCTTCAAACAAATTCTGATTTTCTTGTGCCCAATATCGGGTATTCTGTCTGTTAAAGAAACCAAGATTGGTGAATCTTAACTCATCTGAGAATACAATTGTTTTTAGAAACTCATTATTGGGCTGCACATTATTGTGTAGAACCCATCTGCAATATTCCATCTTTCTTACGCTATCGGCGTCATACAGATTTTGGTGAAGTTGATATTTGAAAGATTGATACTTGTGTTTTTTTACAATTCTTCTTACACTTTCACGACTGATGTCCAACTCAAATGCCAGCTGCCTAAGCGATACTGTTTTATCGATTTCCAACCTCATGAGGACATTTATTTCCATATCTTCAGATATAATAAAATTTTCATTACCCTCATTATGATCGGGCTCACGTCTGAACTCCTCTTCAAGACGCTTGAAATAATTTCTAGCCGGACATATCGTGCAACTGCATTTTGCCGACATTCCCCATAAATCAGTAGCATATCTACTTTCTCGTTGTTATACACTTGTGGCATTTTTAACTTATTTCTGTTAGAACAGAACATTGACAACAATGTGTTCAGTAACTAACAAACAATGTCAGTTTTATACAAATGTCACAAGTTGTTTGTAATTCATAGCCACCTCATTAACTCACCTTTATTAAATTGCGAATAATTTTCATGGCTCTCTAGATCGAAAAATAAACCGAGCGTCTTAACACTTAAAATATCAAGTATGGGGTATCATTGGATTCAGAAAATTGTGTAAATTTCAAAATATGTAATAATATACAGGGTATTTGAAAATTAAACATTGATAAGATTTCCGGAAAAAATGAAAGTTGAAAAAATCTCAAATTACGTCAAAAAGTGCCTCTTTGTAAGCATATTCAATATTAATAGTTCCGTAAAAATAGGTGAAAGAATAAAGAAAAAAGGGGGGTTACCATAAGTCTGTGTCACACGGTATATCCGATATCCATGAGTGCGTCAGATCAATCAAAATACAGGATTACGCGGATGACACTCAATTATACATGTCGTTCAGTTTCAGTGAAGTCATCATTGCCGAGGATATCATAAACAAAAACTTGGAATGACTCTTTGATGCTTCTCTTGCACACAACTTGAAGCTCAGTTCAAAAAAATCGCAAGTGATGCTGTTTGGTTCCAAAGGAAAGAGAAACTCCGTCACCAACTCACTATAAGAAATCAAAACAGTCCTAGTCAATTCGTAAATGAGAGCAAAAATTTGGGTCTTTGGATCGATACTGACCTAAGATTCATAAAGTATGTTAATCAGCTATGTGAGGCCTCATATAACGTGTTACGGCACCTATACCCCAGTAGGTACTTGATGTCAAAAAAACTCATACTGAATCTACGCGAGTCTGTAATATTCTCCCAATTAGCGTATTATGACATTATTTATGGAGCGGCCCTAGATCAGCATAATGCGTTAGACTAAATACACTCTTGCATACTCACCGGTTTTTTACCGACCATTCCAGTCTCGAATGCTCCGTGAAATTGTAGTTACTACGCATTAACTTCGTTTTGGTAGTGCGTGCTAATTACGACAACAAAGCAACTGATTGTTTGACCGATAAAAATCCGGTGAGTGTGCAAGCACCCGCTACCAATAAAATATCGGCCGATTTTATACTGACCGTCCAAAATCGGTGTGTGTGCAACTAGCGTTACGGTTGCAAAAAATCCAAAATAGTTGTATTCGATTCGCATACGGTATACAGTAGTATGACCATATCAGTAATTCATTCAATGACTCAGATTGGTTAAAAATCAACCAACTAGCGTTACGCTAGTTGCACACACACCGATTTTGGACGACCAGTATGAAATCGGCCGATATTTTATTGGTAGCGGGTGCTTGCACACTTACCGGATTTTCATCGGTCGAACAATCAGTTGCTTTGTTGTCGTAATTAGCACGCACTACCAAAACGAAGTTAATGCGTAGTAACTACAATTTCACCGAGCATTCGAGACTGGAATGGTCGGTAAAAAACCGGTGAGTATGCAAGAGTGTATTTAGTCATGTACGCCACTACTTCCCGGTACTGCCGGCGATACAGTGGCAGTGGACGGCTGCTCACCGGTATTTTACCGGCGACGATCACCGGTCGGCGTGTGTACAAGGTCCCGTTCCCTCATGTGGTTCACTATTGGAATTTGGACGACCGGTATATCGGCCGTCCAAAATCGGTGTGTGTGTAACTAGCGTTATTGTAACCCATAAAATTCTGTACTCAGGAACACCATTATATTTGAGGAAAAAATTGTTTTTTTGTCGCGAAAGAATGATGCGCGTAATAAACATCTACTGCTCATTCCGAAACACAAAACCGCATATACACACGTAGTTTTTCATACAGTACAGCAAAACTATACAATATGTTACCCCATGAACTCAAAGATCTCAGTTTGATAAATTTCAAAAAACGTTTGAAAGTCGTCTCCGAACAAGATAATGATGTCTTTACTATCTGATGATTTTTTGCATATGTACAAACAGGCTTCAATTGTAATGATATGAAATTATTTAATTATTCAGCCACTTCACTCATCCATTTTATTATCATCATTTCTTTTTCACCTACTTCTTGTATCTAATACTATGCTTATACAGATATATTAATATTAACGGTTTTTGTGATCTTATAGATTAAGTGTGTACGTCCGAGGTTGTATTTAAAAGCACTTATTAAAAACAGCGATGAATGCAATACGACTAGCGGCATCTATATGTTAGGCCCGAGACATTTCAGCCCCTGTAGCATATGAATTCAGAAGTGATATGAACTTTCTGAAGATCACCGTTCGTATAGGAACGATAGCTGATTAACGTAAAAATCATTTGAAACCAATTATTTCACATATTCAGTTCAATTGCATTGATACCATTATTTCACGTGTCACTATTAAAATCACGGGACTAGTAATGGGTGGATTTTCAATCAACCTATGTAATATTAACAGTAAAATACAGACTCTTATACCTGTTTCTCTCAACTTTGACAGTAAATTATTTCGAAGAGGACTGTGGGCTGCATATCAACAGGTGAAATTGTACTCAAAATCTCATATATTAAATTGATTAAGTAAGAGTTGAATGGGTATTGTTGTAAATCATGCCCGAAAGAAAATAACGCCGGCCGCCACTGGTAACCATAAACCAAACGTGACGTAGCTAAGAGCGTGCGAATGCACGATGATTCCTCGCCACTCGAGAAGCAGCGAGAATAATGCTAACGACTTCGACAGAACTTCAGAGAAATTTATACGGCATCCGATTACGATATTTAAACGCTAGCTGCAAGCATATAGACACAATCAAGTGGAAGTTACAGTGCGCGAAGTGATCTAGTAAGGCGATAGACATTCAAATGATAGTTAAATATTCAGTTGAAGTGTTTGTTGTATTTAAAGTTAAATAAAGTTAAGTTTGATTATTCAGTGTAGTCAATTATTGGTCAACCTACGGGGAAAAACGTAACAGTATTATCCAGAACAATACATTTTTGTCACATTGAGGAACGATAAATCAAACTGTTTTATTCTCACCATCTTCACCCAGCGGACTTGGACTGACTTTCTTTTTTCTTCTGGGCATATCTTGTATTCTCAAGGTCTGAGCACTTGGCGTATAACTTGCACCTAGAAAATTAGAAATTATCAATTGCTGAATGATTATTCATCGCTGTTCTTTACAAAAAAACTTTCTGGTCTGAGCACTTGGCGTATAACTTGCACCTAGAAAATTAGAAATTATCAATTGCTGAATGATTATTCATCGCTGTTCTTTACAAAAAAACGTTCAACTGGTTCATATTGAGAAAATAGCAAAATAAATAGCTAATATTATAAACATTAAAATATACTTCAAATTGATATATCCCATGAATTTAAATTCATTTCAAATTTCAATTCAGTATTATACCTAGTGGTTGATCATTTCATTACAACATAATGAAGGCATTATTCACTTATATTGGATTGTCTCTATTCATTTTTTACAATGTGCATGCAAATTCGGTAAGTTTCGTCTTCTTGATTATATGATACTACCAAATTGAGTCTAGCTCTTTTGGTTTGTAGGACATACGAGAATAACAGGACAATAATGAATTTCATTTGTGTGTGGAACTTCTTTATCGGTAGAAATATTGAATGTCTTTTTCAACTGATGCTTTCAATTGGCCAATGAAGAGAACAAAATCCGGGCTGATAGGCATTGGTCGAATGAAACCTGCCAGACATTTCCCCTGCTACTATGGCAGACATTGCTAGCATTATGTGCGTTGACTTCGATATTTGACCTTCGTCTTGCCAAGCAACGCACATACCACTGATGATGTTTGCCGCAGTAGCAGACGAAACGTGTGCTACTTCAGGTTCCATTCGGCCCGGATTTTGTTCTCTTTAATCGTGACTCCGGCCATGAAACCTTTGTTCTCAAATTATTCAATTGGCTTTCCAAACATGTTCATGTTTTGACTGACAATGTTCATTTCGGCAATTTGTTGATCATCAAATAAACCATTTTGTGTGTCTCAACCCTGATAATTATTCTAGAAATGCAATTTGATTTGAACTTCTATGCTCCACTTTAGTTCATGACATATCAATCGCAAAATATATTTTGGTTCAAACTCAAAAGTATTTCAATGCTTGTTGAAATTACACCATTTTTATAACAGCTCCCATGCGGCTCTAGCAGTTCGAATACAATTAAGGATTTGAATATATCTCCTGATAATGCACTTCTATATAAAAAGCGTGTGAGAGCAAGTTTCGATGGAAACATAACAGATACTTTTCAGATTGATTCGGCCGTTACTTGATGAAGAACCATTAGTCCAATCATTTAAGCCTAAATTAGGTAAGAATCTCGGAATTCGAGATACCCAGCTGTAAGTCTGTGAATACTTGTATATTGACACCCTAAAAGTTGTTTCAAAACCTACATATGGTAGGGTGTACGCAACTATTAAATTTCAAGGTCAAAGGTCACAAAAATCGGTTTTTTGCGCTTTTTTTGGAAATATCTCA